AAATTCATATATGCTCTGTCATGTGAGGGAGCTGCTGTATCTCTTGCATGAAAGTCCAAAATAATGTGAATCCCAAAAACACCCTAATAAATTATTACATCGCGCAAATAATTTAGTTCAATTCGGTATTTGGAGAAAAGGGCTGTGTGCATTATGCATCAAGTGAAAGTTCGAGCACAATGGCTTGAGAGCAGATGCGTTCAGCCGACGAGAGTGATTAGACAGATCAGTTGTTCTTTTTCTTTTTCATTTTTTTTTTCCTCTATAAAAAATGTGAATGGAGACTACAGTCCTAATTTTAATTAGGAAAGTTGCAGCCACGTCCCTGACCTTTGGAAAAGGTGCAATGAGTCTGTACCTTTATATTAAAAAATTAAAGAAAACTAACTAGTCCTTTTTTTTTTAAACCAAATTGATAATATTACTTAAATTATTTTGTATATTTTTCGAACTATTCTGAAATAAGTTAATTAAGGTCATAAATAATTGACTAACGTCTTAAAAGAAAATTATTAATTATCTAGTATATTTTTGGAACTATTGTGAAATAACTTAATTAAGCTCATAATTAATAGACTAACGTCTTAAAGAAATTATTGCTTTTATGACTAAGTAATTACACTAATTGCAAAATTAAAACTCTTATTTCATGTTTATAACAAAAGAAGAAGAAAAACGAGTAAAGATCCCCTGCTTGAAATTTGTTGTCCACCAATAAATGATTAACACATTATTTTACATTAAAGTATCATCTAATTTTAAGCACAAGTAGTGGTCAAAGAAAAATTGAATTTGTTAATTTAAAATGATGTATCAATTATTCACAGGGGCGGACCTAGGGGGGTTTATAGGGGCAAGAAAAAAAAATTTGCTTAGCTTTTTTTTTTTTTTTCCTTAGTTTTTTTTATTAGAAGATATCCTACAAATTTTATTTTTGCCCCCCTAAGCCAAGTCGTCTGGGTCCGCCCCTGATTATTCATTGGTGAACAACATATCTCAACTCAAAAAAAAAAAAAAAAAAAAAAACTTGTACAACAAACTTATCCTCAAATACTTTTATTTATTTATCTATCAACTATAGATATTATAGCTCCAACTTTATTTTTAATTCTAATTCATCGTTTTATGAACATTAGATACAGAAAATACAGACTATATAATTGGAAAATGAATTTTTTATCAATATTTTTTTATTAATTAATATAATAATAAGATTGGTTGAATGTCAAAAAATTACATATTTATTTAACATAAAAAAGGCAATCACATATACTTTAGAGGATGATAATTTGACTAATTATTTTCCTTTAAAAAACTTAATGGACGTGATTAATGATATATTTAGTATGCGAATTTATTTTCCTTTACAAAAGTTCGAGATTGATTTGTACTTTTCTTGGCCACAATTTTTCGTAACTTGAATTAGACTAATGCTACTTGAACTTAATGAAATTACATGATGATTCACATACAGATAAAAGAATGTATCAATTGAGAATTTTAAAAACATCTATAGACTTTTTTAGGTGAGTGACTTTTGTAGATTTTTAAGTGACTTCTATGGATTTATTAAGAATTAATAGAAGTCTTCAATGGACTTTTCGCAAACTTCAATTAAAGATTTTTAAAAAGACTTTTCATTTGACAAATTTATTATGTACTTGAAAAATTATAATCTTTTTTACTACCTAATTAACATTTTCGAGATCCATGATGCCCACGAAATTTTCTTTTACTAGTTACGGCCCAGTCATTCAACTTAAATTACACGAACACAAATTGTTCTTTAAAAAAAAAAAAAAAGAGGAAGAAGATCAATTACATGAAATTCTACATTTTGAATCAATTGCATATAATTTAAATTCAAAAGTAATTATGTATATATAGAATAATCATAAATTGATTACAGCAAATGAATTGAAGAAATACGAGAAAATTCTAGAATTGAGAAAAAATAAGAAATACGAGAAAATTCTAGAATTGAGAAAAAATACGTTCTTCTTTTTTTTTTCTTTTTGGCTCTAAAATCTTCACAAGTCTCAAAATACATGAGAAATTTTATTTGAGATTTGCCATTTATATTTTTCATCAAAAAGCCTCTAAAAGTCCAGTAAGTAGAGAATTCTCCAGAAGTCAATATCTATTTGACTACATCAGGACTTGTAAAGACTTCTAAAAAATTTCAATTGAATACCCTGTAATTTTTAGAGACTCTTTAAAAGTCCGTAGAAATCTCGATTAAAGACACTTAAACTTTTAGAGAGTTTTAAGTGTCTTAATTGAATATACCTAAACTTTTTAAATTGTTAAAAGTCTTTTAAAAGTTCCAAATGAATACATCCCCCGAAGCGTCAAAAAGGGAGTGAATTTTTTTATTATTATTTTTTTTTGTTGAAGAAATTTTTGATTCAATCATATTTCACAACATTATGTGTGTGTAAAACCATTATGTACGTGTAGTGCAATCGTTAAAATTGATGAAATTTCATCTTTAAAGAAAGGACCAATTATGCACCACACATAGATTAGGACGTTATGCCAAGCAATGTTATAAAAATCGGACTGGATTGGCCGATTTAACCGGAAAAATCATGAATCGGCCTTTAATCCGGTCCGGTACTCATAAACTAACTGAAAAATAAAAATCCGTGAACCGAAAAACCGGTCACAATTTTTTCCTGGTAATTTGATTTTTTTTTCTACAAAAACTTTTAACTACCTTAATGGGCCACCCATTGCAATTGAAGGCCCAAATAATTTTTTTTTATAAAAGTGATTCTCCCTTGCCTTCTTTTTAAAGGAGATCCTTCTTTCAATGTTTTAGTAATTTTGCAACATGGGATACTAGATCCTTTTTGAAGGAGACTATTCTTCCAATGTTGTGGTAATCTCCTAATGTGGAATACTTGCCAATTGTCAATTCTAAGTGTTTCCTAGTTTATTTCATCATTTTCATTAACAAATCATAAATCCCAACACGATTATAATTTTCAATTTGAACAAACCAAATTATTTTGGACATATTAATTGTTGGTTTTCAAGGTTATAAAATAAATTATTATAATAATTCAAATTAACAAATATTGATTATATTTATTTTGAATGAAAAAACTAAAATTTAAAAATTTATTATAGTTATGATATTTTATAATTTATTTGTGTATTTATTTATTTAATTTGTCATTCGGTTCGATACCAGATCGATCCCAGTTTGACCCTTTAAACCTCGACCCTCTTCATTTTTCGGGTCGATTTCCGAGTCATTTTTTAAAACATTGATGCCAAGAAACAAATGTTAAAAGACCATTTACACATTGAAAGAGAGCTTATGGACCATCTGCATCAAATTCACTTGTAATAAACAGACACATGTTTGGAAGTGCCTAAATTAAAATATAAGTGACTACAAATTGTGAAGTCCCACTGAATAACAGAATGGTAATGGTTGTGTGAATAAAAAATAAGTTTTGTCAAAAGTGTCCTACTATCTCTCTTTTTCAAAGATCCTATCATATCATCACTTTTGTCGCACAATTTCCCTCCATTTTAGAAAAAATATAGCTGTTTCTTGTGCCCATTTGCAATAAATGCTTTGACTCACATCTCACATTTTGCTGTGAGAAACGTGTCCAAAGGTAGGAATTCTCATTCTCATTTTTGATAAAAATGTGCAACAAACAAGGGTAGATCTCTAAAAAGAATAATAACTTTACCCATGAAAAAATATATCTTCCCAATCGACAAGGCTCACAACTAAAAGCTTGTTAGTTACATATTTTTAAGTGAAAGATAAATTTTTTTTTTTTTTTTTTTTTTTTTAAAAAGGTTTTTTTTTTTTTTTTTTTTTTGAAAAAAGGTTGTAGATATCATAGAATGTACAAAATGATTTCCAAAAAGGCTCTCCTGAACAAACTTTAAAACTAAAAGATATGTTCAAGAAAAAATCTTAAAGTTCGTTAATTATCTATTCAGTTAAGTATCGAGAATCCAAAGTGTAAAAATAGTTTTAACAACTTACTCTTGAACATAAATAAAACTCAATCAATTAAAATGAAACTAATATTTGTAAACATGAGAAGTTAAAAACAAAATAAAAAATGGGATTCCCCTCTTATTGCATCCTAGACGTTCCAATCTAACCTAATCACTTTTTTTATTTCATCCTTTCTCCTCTCTTTAAGCCCTCTTTTCCCTCGGACCCGAACGTCATACAGACCTTATTAAAACGGTTGGATATACACGTGTCCCAAAAGTTGCAAAGTTTACCAATTTCCACCAGCATCCGCATGTGCATGTCGGTAGGTGTAAAACAGCAAAATTCTTTCTCAAGTTTCCCATCTGTCATCAAGTATTTATAGAAGAAGTGAATCACGTTGAACAACATTATGTGCAATAATGTTGTTCACGTGGCCTTTTCCTATCATCAATGCTGAAAAGAAGAAGTGTGATTTTTCATAACTGAAGAAAGAAATTCTTAGTACCAAAAACAAAAGGAAAAAAATACGGGTATATTCATATCTATAATATATTAAATATCATATCAAGAATCATATTTTAGATGATTTTAACCCTACTACAATTCAAATATTTCAATAATATTTTACTTTTCGTTTTTCAATAAATACTACAAAATCATTGTCATGTATGAATTTATAGATGAATTTATTTCTATTCATATCTAGATGGGTGTTTAAATGTATGTATTATCAATTATTTCTTATGTACCACATGTAGTATAAAAGGTTGCTCATTTCTAGTATTTCATCATCACAAAAAAATTGAATCATAGAAGTTGAGTTTTAAGAGTACAATTTTATTCTCTTAAATTTTTATTCTAAATTTTATATTCTTTAGATCATTTGAGATTCAATAAATCCTTCCAACAACTTAGTGTCGAATATTACTTTTACAACTTATAAACTATTTCAAAATAATGCGTTTAACTCTTAAAATTTTGAAAGAATTCTTTTGCGCGTGACAAGCATCTCTCCTTTTATCATTGCCTATTTATTGCCTCCTCCAAACCCTATTTTTCTACATAGATAAACAGTGATATTCCATTCTCCATTCATTCCTCTTCAGAACAAACTAAATTTCATCCCCTTTCACACTCCTGAAGCACCAGACATGTATCAACCACCAGGATATCCCTATCCCCCTCAAGGTACTCCTTGTCATACATAACGTACACAATCTATATACACTTACTCGCACTTCATTTGATGAATATTTATCTTAGAATGATTTAATTACAATTCACAACACAGGTTCTTACCCAGGACTTCGATCTCCTGTAATGCCACCTCCATAACAGCATCATTATCCTCCTCCAGAAATGCCACCTTCACAACAGCATCATTATCATCATTATCCTCCTCCAGTAATGTCACCTCCATAACAGCATCCTTATCCTCCTCCTCAACGCCAGGAAGAACCTAGTTTCCTTGACGGAATGTACTCTCTCTCTCTCTGTTTATTTTCTTTTCTTGTTTCATTAATGAAGAATTTTACCTCAATTTTGATTTGGATCTTATGACAGTCTCGCTACTTTATTTTGCTGTTGGCTAGCTAGTTGATGCGTGTTGCGCCGACCCCCCAACAGCGATTTCCCCAGCGGCCCCCCCATCGGTGTCGTATATTATCATCGAACAAATTAATATTTCCTGTCTGCACTAATTAATGTACTGATGCATTTTAAGATAATTGCAAGCATTGTTATTTTAATTTTAATTTCAATTTCATCATCTTGAGTAGTTTAAATGTTTAATGGTCTTTTGTCTCTTCTTCTTTTGTTGATTTCTTGAGCAGTAAACTAAACTTTGGCATATAAGAAAATAGGAAAAAGAAAAATCTGAAATTCCTTGCTTGCTTTCGGGGTCCAAAAGTCAACATTGATCCGAGTATACTCAGCATAATTCTGTAAATTAAAATTTGGATTTTAATTTGATTTAATTGAGAAAGGGAAGTCTTGAAAATTGAAGAATTACAATAAACGTAATAGATAAAATCTACTTCCAAATATTGTTCTTACTTTTTTTTACACGTTTTGTTTGATCGTTGCATGTAAATCGAGGCCGGTAACTTTGACTTGAGGATGCATTGGGTCCCTGGGCATATAGTTGTTCACATTTTTGTCAATATGAATATTTGACACCTATAAATTTTTTATGCAACAGGTTTATATTTGCAATAAATGAGAATAAAGTCTTTCAGAAGTAGAGTGAATGATAATTATAAAAATAGGATCGTACTGGTCGATTCAAATCATTTGACTTGAATCTGGTGAACCGGTTGATTCATCGGTCGATATAAGTAGCCTAGACCCTTATGTCAAAAACAGCTCAATAATTGTCAAAATGGGTAGGTTTTTTCGACGATCCGCAATCCATCTTTTGGATAACCGAGCAAGAGGTTTCTATATACCCTAGTACCAAAACATTAAACTGAAGCGCCTTTACCATCAGGAAAGCTGAATACTTTAACTATAATGTGCTCCCTACTAAAGTCACAACATTAAAATTACAATTTCATTTTAGTTTCTATTCCTCAATATTTCTTGCGTTGGGACGTGCCATCTATTGTTTAATTAAATCCATAACAAGAAATTTCACGAGATAAGAAATGAGAGATCATAATTAACAATGTAGATTGCCAAAAATATTAAAACATAACACAAAAGAAGATTTTGAACCCAACTTGAAATCAAAACCGACTTAGTCGATTTGGGTGAATTCCAATCCAAACCAACAATGTTCCGTTTTTGAAACCGAGACCGTCACATCATTTTGGGCTTGGGCACAAATTGTTCAAATCAAGCAAATTATTATATGCTCTTCATGTGAGGGAGCTGCTTTTATCTTTTGCACGAAAGTCCAAAATAATGTTAATCACAAAAACACCCTAATAAATTATTACATCGCGCAAATAAATCTAATTAACAAATATTGATTATATTTATTTTGAATGAAAAAACTAAAATTTAAAAATCTGTTATAGTTATGATATTTTATAGTTTATTTGTCTATTTATTTATTTAATTTGTCATCCGGTTCGATACCGGTTTGACCCTTTAAACCTCGACCCTCTTCATTTTTCGGGTCGATTTCCGAGTCATTTTTTAAAACATTGATGCCAAGAAACAAATGTTAAAAGACCATTTACACGTTGAAAGAAAGCTTATGGACCATTTGCATCAAATTCACTTGTAATAAACAGACACGTGTTTGGAAGTGCTTAAATTAAAATATAAGTGACTACAAATTGTGAAGTCCCACTGAATAACAGAAGGGTAATGGTTGTGTGAATAAAAAATAAGTTTTGTCAAAGGTGTCCTACTCTCTCTCTTTTTAAAGATCCTATCATATCATCACTTTTGTTGCACATTTTCTAGAAAAAATATAGCTGTTTCTTGTGCTCATTTGCCATAAATGCTTTGACTCACATCTCACATTTTGCTGTGAGAAACGTGTCCAAAGGTAGGAATTCTCATTCTCATTTTTGATAAAAATGTGCAACAAACAAGGGTAGATCTCTAAAAAGAATAATAACTTTACCCATGAAAAAATATATCTTCCCAATCGACAAGGCTCACAACTAAAAGCTTGTTAGTTACATATTTTTAAGTGAAAGATAAATTTTATTTTTTTATTTTTTTTTTGAAAAAAGGTTGTAGATATCATAGAATGTACAAAATGATTTCCAAAAAGGCTCTCCTGAACAAACTTTAAAACTAAAAGATATGTTCAAGAAAAAATCTTAAAGTTCGTTAATTATCTATTCAGTTAAGTATCGAGAATCCAAAGTGTAAAAATAGTTTTAACAACTTACTCTTGAACATAAATAAAACTCAATCAATTAAAATGAAACTAATATTTGTAAACATGAGAAGTTAAAAACAAAATAAAAAATGGGATTCCCCTCTTATTGCATCCTAGACGTTCCAATCTAACCTAATCACTTTTTTTATTTCATCCTTTCTCCTCTCTTTAAGCCCTCTTTTCCCTCGGACCCGAACGTCATACAGACCTTATTAAAACGGTTGGATATACACGTGTCCCAAAAGTTGCAAAGTTTACCAATTTCCACCAGCATCCGCATGTGCATGTCGGTAGGTGTAAAACAGCAAAATTCTTTTCAAGTTTCCCATTTGTCATCAAGTATTTATAGAAGAAGTGAATCACATTGAACAACATTATGTGCAATAATGTTGTTCACATGGCCTTTTCCTATCATCAATGCTGAAAAGAAGAAGTGTGATTTTTCATAACTGAAGAAAGAAATTCTTAGTACCAAAAACAAAAGGAAAAAAATACGGGTATATTCATATCTATAATATATTAAATATCATATCAAGAATCATATTTTAGATGATTTTAACCCTACTACAATTCAAATATTTCAATAATATTTTACTTTTCGTTTTTCAATAAATACTACAAAATCATTGTCATGTATGAATTTATAGATGAATTTATTTCTATTCATATCTAGATGGGTGTTTAAATGTATGTATTATCAATTATTTCTTATGTACCACATGTAGTATAAAAGGTTGCTCATTTCTAGTATTTCATCATCACAAAAAAATTGAATCATAGAAGTTGAGTTTTAAGAGTACAATTTTATTCTCTTAAATTTTTATTCTAAATTTTATATTCTTTAGATCATTTGAGATTCAATAAATCCTTCCAACAACTTAGTTGTCGAATATTACTTTTACAACTTATAAACTATTTCAAGATAATGCGTTTAACTCTTAAAATTTTGAAAGAATTCTTTTGCGCGTGACAAGCATCTCTCCTTTTATCATTGCCTATTTATTGCCTCCTCCAAACCCTATTTTTCTACATAGATAAACAGTGATATTCCATTCTCCATTCATTCCTCTTCAGAACAAACTAAATTTCATCCCCTTTCACACTCCTGAAGCACCAGACATGTATCAACCACCAGGATATCCCTATCCCCCTCAAGGTACTCCTTGTCATACATAACGTACACAATCTATATACACTTACTCGCACTTCATTTGATGAATATTTATCTTAGAATGATTTAATTACAATTCACAACACAGGTTCTTACCCAGGACTTCGATCTCCTGTAATGCCACCTCCATAACAGCATCATTATCCTCCTCCAGAAATGCCACCTTCACAACAGCATCATTATCATCATTATCCTCCTCCAGTAATGTCACCTCCATAACAGCATCCTTATCCTCCTCCTCAACGCCAGGAAGAACCTAGTTTCCTTGACGGAATGTACTCTCTCTCTCTCTGTTTATTTTCTTTTCTTGTTTCATTAATGAAGAATTTTACCTCAATTTTGATTTGGATCTTATGACAGTCTCGCTACTTTATTTTGCTGTTGGCTAGCTAGTTGATGCGTGTTGCGCCGACCCCCCAACAGCGATTTCCCCAGCGGCCCCCCCATCGGTGTCGTATATTATCATCGAACAAATTAATATTTCCTGTCTGCACTAATTAATGTACTGATGCATTTTAAGATAATTGCAAGCATTGTTATTTTAATTTTAATTTCAATTTCATCATCTTGAGTAGTTTAAATGTTTAATGGTCTTTTGTCTCTTCTTCTTTTGTTGATTTCTTGAGCAGTAAACTAAACTTTGGCATATAAGAAAATAGGAAAAAGAAAAATCTGAAATTCCTTGCTTGCTTTCGGGGTCCAAAAGTCAACATTGATCCGAGTATACTCAGCATAATTCTGTAAATTAAAATTTGGATTTTAATTTGATTTAATTGAGAAAGGGAAGTCTTGAAAATTGAAGAATTACAATAAACGTAATAGATAAAATCTACTTCCAAATATTGTTCTTACTTTTTTTTACACGTTTTGTTTGATCGTTGCATGTAAATCGAGGCCGGTAACTTTGACTTGAGGATGCATTGGGTCCCTGGGCATATAGTTGTTCACATTTTTGTCAATATGAATATTTGACACCTATAAATTTTTTATGCAACAGGTTTATATTTGCAATAAATGAGAATAAAGTCTTTCAGAAGTAGAGTGAATGATAATTATAAAAATAGGATCGTACTGGTCGATTCAAATCATTTGACTTGAATCTGGTGAACCGGTTGATTCATCGGTCGATATAAGTAGCCTAGACCCTTATGTCAAAAACAGCTCAATAATTGTCAAAATGGGTAGGTTTTTTCGACGATCCGCAATCCATCTTTTGGATAACCGAGCAAGAGGTTTCTATATACCCTAGTACCAAAACATTAAACTGAAGCGCCTTTACCATCAGGAAAGCTGAATACTTTAACTATAATGTGCTCCCTACTAAAGTCACAACATTAAAATTACAATTTCATTTTAGTTTCTATTCCTCAATATTTCTTGCGTTGGGACGTGCCATCTATTGTTTAATTAAATCCATAACAAGAAATTTCACGAGATAAGAAATGAGAGATCATAATTAACAATGTAGATTGCCAAAAATATTAAAACATAACACAAAAGAAGATTTTGAACCCAACTTGAAATTAGAACCGACTTAGTTGATTTGGGTGAATTCCAATCCAAACCAACAATGTTCCGTTTTTGAAACCGAGACCGTCACATCATTTTGGGCTTGGGCACAAATTGTTCAAATCAAGCAAATTATTATATGCTCTTCATGTGAGGGAGCTGCTTTTATCTTTTGCACGAAAGTCCAAAATAATGTTAATCACAAAAACACCCTAATAAATTATTACATCGCGCAACTAATTTTGTTCAATTTGGTATCTGGAGAATGGG